TGAATTGAGGACAGAACAAACAACAAAGTAAGATAAGGAGACGCAAATTACGGTTTATTACTTTCTTTAGCCCAAAATGTAATATTCTCTCTAAAACGCAATTACCATAAATAAGCAAAGCTCCACAGAAGAACTCTTGTGTCTTATCCCCTTGATCGAACCTGGGCTCATTACTTGAAAGAGTACGGAGGCCGAAATTATTAAGCATTTACTGATTGAACCCCATCAAGACGTGGATCGCGGACTTTGATCCATGATGTAAGTTGTTTTATTCTTGGGCTTGGCGGGTTGTGGCATGGCCAGTTGCAATGTAAATGGATTCGACATTCGATCAATCACATCACTCCCCTCATAAAATTTCAAGTTAAATAAGCTTAATATTTCCCCTCCCGTTATTAGAGCAAAAAGCATAAAGATTAATTAGTCATGTGTAGATTAGAGAGGGGAAAGGAAAACCGAGCGTCTATTTTCTTTCTTCCAATCAAAATATGCTTTTACTTTGGAGGGAAGAGAAATCTTCACGTTTGCCGTTTTATTTGACTAAGAGCACGAGAGAAAGTGAGATGGCCGTGGGCTCCACCTCCTGAACTTAAGTGGAACCCACATGAGCTAGTAGCCTAGTAGTGATCTGTGTTCAGTGCTCCCGTGGATCAACGGACACGCTACGTTCTTTCAGTTTATCCTAATCCGACTCATCGCCTGTGGTGGTGGGACATGTGGGTCCTACGTGTCACGCACCAGTGCTACAGTGAGTTACATGTGGATCAACGGATAAGCTACGTTCTGGTAAAAAGCGTTCGAGGAACCTCTCAAGTCCAAATCACACCCACCTCTTTATGCTTAGTTAGACCAATCGATTTAATTACAAGGACTTGAGCTGATACTTACCTCATCTTTATGAAAGTGTTTGACAGGCTTATAGGATATAAAAATTGAAGAAAACAAAACAAACAAACTAGGGTTTAAGAGGGGAACCAAGGGATCCATCATCGTTAATGGAACTTTGTCCTCGTATACTACGTGTTATCTATCATTCAATGCCTGGGCCTCACACCTCAAAGATCTGTAGCGTAATGGAAATCAACACAACAAACATCCAACGAAGCATGGACCCAGTAGTCCGTAATACTTGACAGTCACAGGAGAGCTCTGCTGAAACTCCATTTCCTTCCAAGTAATTGGTTATAGAATAGTAAACCCTTTGTTTGGTATGGGGGTGTAAGCAAATCAATCCAACTCGCAAGCTACTTGGGCTCACTCGCTAAATACTCTAACTTGACTTTAAGATTCTAGAGTCAAATCAAATAGTTAGTTGAGCCAGATGTGAGCTTCATAATACCCAACTCGAATAGGTCGTCAGCCTAGTCAAGCTTCTAATAAAATATTATTTTTCAATATATTTATATTTATAATATAAATAAATACTGATTTAGTTATAATTTGTAATATATAAATTATTTTTTTCATATATTTTAAATATTAATTCATTTATAATTTTTAATAGAAATTTATTTATAATTGGCTCAAGCGAGTCAAGCTCAAGTAACTCACAAGTACGGAGTTGAGTTTCGAACATCGATTTTTCGAGTCAAACTCAAGCTAGTGCCACTACGGTGCCACCCAAAAATCAACTCGACTCAGCTTGATTACACCCCAAATTTGGTAGAACCGCAATCACCAAAAAGGAGGATAAAAGAGGAGAGGAATAGAGGGAGGATAAAATCAAAGGGTCCTGGGTAAATCTCAGTTAGGGATATGGAGGACCTGCTTGAACCCAAAATCCTCCCACGACCACATGTGATGAGGAATATCATAGCTGGACGACACTTCTCGATTATTTGGGGGTGGGCAGGAGACAGCATGAATCTTAATGTAGCATACCCCGACCCCATAGGCTGCGGTAAGGGGAAAGATAAAGAATGGGGTGCAACAGTGCCAAGAAGCATATAACTTTCGGTCCCATGGGGGCCATAATTGCCACATGAAATGTATCATACCTACATATTTAGGCGCGCATGCAGAGGTGAGAATGCGGGACCCAGCAATACATGTGTACCACTACCAAGATGCTTTATGCTCAAAATTCACCTTCATCCCTTAACTTCACCATCAATCCACTTCTAGATTTGTTCACTTCTATTATAGTCTAAATGGATGTGTTTGTGTAGTATGTCTCTGCTTTGTGTAAGAGATTAGAACTGGAAGGAAAATTAACTAGAGATGAGATTGTTGTCATCAATGCATGATATTCAGAGTTCTACTCATGAAGTGGTTGATACATGCATCTTAAGACTTGAATATGACAAGCAGTAGCGAAATCTATCTATTTGAATTTTGATCTAAAGGACACACCACACTCATACAAGGCTTATAATGCAGGAGATCATTCCCATCCATAATTAGATTACTGGTTTGATAATGATCACCATCGTATAGATGTAGTAGCAAAAAACCCATTGGAATGGAGTCCTAATATCTTTTTTTCTTCCAAGCTAATTGATAAGCCTTTCAAGTCCCCAAAAGAAAATCAAGTGACTGATGGTGAGCATCACGGAACCAACATAAGATCCGGAGATAATTCATCTGGATGGCTAATGCAATAGAACCCAATACAACGATCAGGAGAGTGTCTAGGACGACCACACCATACAAAGAAAGGCCATTACCCATTGTTGGTCCCATCTATCTTAGGGTCTTGTGACGGGTGGACTGGATATGGACCTACCCTATGGCATTTTTTTCACATAGACCCACATTCTCACGCTTATTAGACCAAGATTTTACCATTACACCAAACAATGGCCCTCCCTAGGCCACACCAAACATCTTAAAACCTATTCCCAAAATACAGAACCTTAGAAACAACCATTCAGAAAACCATTTCAGTCCTGATATTACTCTAGTATAACATTCTAGGGAACGGCAATAAAACTCTTCCAATTGCACGCCACCATACATTATACTGATTGACCAACACAAGACCCTACAAAAACAGGACCCCAAGTTTCAGCCACATTTTTTATCTAAAGCTTTGTACCTAAACTGGTGGATAACAGTAACCACCAACTTCCCACAGTAACCATCATTTAACCTAACCCAAGGACACTGTATCGCCCAACTAAATGTGTGATTTAAGGACACTCAATCTATGTTAAGCGTGCTTCGGCTGGAAGGTCCACAATAACACCACAGAATTATTAGTGGGCTAAACCTATTGAACAAGATACTATTCAGTAAGGATGCAATGCTAAGACCCAAGATTCAATCATTTTGATCCCACTAGGACTACCATGATAAGGGCCCACAAAGCAGATGTCTGTTTTATACCATAAATTTTAGTATTGCAAGCCTGTAAATAGCAAGGCCATACAACAATGAAAGATTTAGCAATACAAATACCATAACACAGGTCACATATGACGAGATGAAGGAATTTTAAAAGGAGGTACTAGAGGATTAAATTTGAAGAACCATAAGGTTATCAGGTTACAATATTCTGTGACCCAATCACCAAGGCATGTAATAAACAAGAACGCACGATTTTCACAAACTGTGCTCAGTAGGTTATACAAGACTACACTTCATAGTTCTAATAAGAGGATAAGTTTATAGTGGGGAAAATTTTAGGAATAGCAAACAATATTTGGCCAAAAATAAAAAAAGTCAGTGTCTGGATCATGAAGTACCGGCATTTATCAAGTAGGTTGGAATGCAACATCAAACTTAGAAACCCTAAGGTGTCAAGCAAGGCATAGACCTATATAAAATACAAATGATTAGGTTTGTAAATCAAATCACCAGAAATCATCCCCAATCAGTGCAACCAAGTGGGTTGGATTAGTAGAGCCAATTGTACCATTAAAATATAATACAGTCCCAATCCATATAATCATTGGTGTACTTTCAAGTAGACACTGCATGTTGCTGATAAAGAAGGTAGATAGCGCATGACCAAAAACGGATTACTTTTAGCTGGTTTTTACGGCTAACAACTCTTTCATCCCTGGACCTCATTTCCTTTTGGGTAACCAAGGTACATGACCTCCTCAATTCTATCATGTACATTTAATTAGGATAACCATGAATCTAGATTCAAGCACAAGGAACCCAAATAACCTTCCCATGGACAAAACACAAAACTAAGACTAGAGTCGGGTAGTCACTTCAGACCCCACTGGAAATTCATGGCAGACTCAATAACAACCTTTTCCATCTGGAGTGGACTTTTCCCCTTTACCAGATCCCAGGAACTGAAAAGTAACAATAGTTTTGGTGCATTCTTGATGGTGTTTAACTGCCAAAACCTCTTTGCATTTTTTTATTCATTTGTTTATTTATTGCTAGGCAAATAGGGCTTTCAACTGATTGCAAAAACCGATAACTGATCCTGCATTTGATCTGATTATTTTGGATTCGGACATTTACATAATCGGATTGGATTTGGATTTGGGAACTTGCATCCGTTCAATAACCAGATTGGATGCAGATTTGACCACAGTCCATCCGATTAAGATCTGAGTCTGATTAAATTTTATAACATATAAATTATATAACTATATGTAATTATATATACACATACACAAGGATGTATGTACATACACACATATATGTATGTATATGTGTGTAAATGTGCATGCATATATGTATTTAAAAGTTTATACTTAATAAACTCAGTATTTTATATTTATATAAATTTATTTTATATGTATTCAAAAGTAATTAACTTTTCTTTGTTTTGAAAATAATGAAGCAGACTCGGATTAAATCCAATATCCAATCTGAGACACTAGATCCCATCAGTTTTCATAGCGGAATAAAGTTAAAAATAAACAGTTCAGATACAGATGTGGCGAAACCTGATTTCAATCAAACCTGATTACAGCCCCAAAACCTGCATACCCCAACCCTTGGGGGGGGGGGGGGTGGATTCATTCCCAGGTCTCCACTACAACTAGCAGAAGACTTTACCAGAGAACTAGCCGGCACCTTACTTAACCATATAAATTTCCTAACAGCTCAAACAGCATAAAGGATCCATTCCCGTTTCAATTATTCAAATTGTTAGAAAGAAGATTCTGAACTTAAATTTACAGCTATCTTTAGATACTTATCCAAATTAGGTACTTTTACTTTCCACGTTAAATGTTCTGCTCTGCTTTGTTTATACCAGCCATCAGAAAGGGAAAAGAGTGTGGAGGAGGATCCTCCGTGGACATGCTCCATAATGGTTCATCTTACAGATATCGGCTATTGCACAGTAAGGCTACATTGAGGATACACATATGACCATTAGTATTGAAGATCTTCATTGTACAGTCTATTCCAACTGTTTATCTTACAAAATCACATAATAAAACTAAATCTTTTTTTTTTCCTTGCTTTCATTTCTTCTTATTCTTCTATTTTTCTCTTTTTGACAAGGCTAAATCTTGAGGATTTCTACTGCTTAAGTGGTATGTCAAAACTACATTTCGAGAAAAGCTTCAAACAAGACCAAGATTGGTGCAGTATAGAGGCTTTTTCCTTGTTAAGAAAATCCCTTTCCTCTACTAGCAATTAACTATGATATCATTCTGATGGAGGTAACAAACAGAACAGATTAGCTGAATAGCTCACAAGGTGTTAAGGTGTTAGATCAGTTTAGGAATCTACTAGTGTTCCAAAATACCTTGCTTCTTGTGACTTATCAAAAAAAGAGAGAAAAGAAAGAGAAATACCATGCTTCTTGTGTTCTTGTAACAGGAAGTTATCCACATGATAAATAAATTGTGCTACACATTACTTAGCAGATGCCACTTTGTATGTTGATTGTAGTATTGGCATTTAAGTATATGATACACTTAATTTTGTGTATGACCTCTTACCAAAATGAAATGTATCTCCAATTTCTGAGCTTTTTGTTAGCACTTTTAGCATGCAGAATACAGAAATAGAATTCTAGGAACCGTATTCAATGCCACATTACCAAATTATGAAAGAAGTAATATTACAAGTTTGGGGTATAGTCCTAATCTAAGACCCAACTAATTAAGAAAAGATAAACAAATACAAATTTATCAAGTAAAAATATTGAAAGGACAAGAAAGAAGACGAAAGGAGAGGCTGACTCACCTCCATTTTTCTCTCAGTTCCTTATTCTCAGACAAGATCCATGTTACAAAGATGGCTGCAATTAAAGCAACTATTGTGATGAGAAGCAGAGCATAACTGAAATCTTCTGTGAGGGAATCATATGTACGTGAAGGTGCAATTCTGGTGAAGAAAAGATCCACTCCATATGCAAAGACAAGGCTGGTCGACTCCAGCTTAGCAGGAACTGTTACAATGCCTCGGAGCCCTTCCACTTTGAGTGAGTGTGTCACATAGGACTGCATAAACAATCCTTGTATCAAATATAAGCTTAACTAACACAGAACAAACAAGAGTATGTGGCAGAATGCCTCAGAGCCTCTACATTTCAACTGTGTTACATACAATTACATAACCAAACATTGGTCCCTCAAGATGATTCACTTGAACTTCTGTATTTGTCCGTTCCTTGCCCAAACATCACATGGAATGTGTACTTAAGAATATCAATCACTACATAATTCAAGGAAACATGGTGACAACAAGTTTAACTTGGTGTCAGGTGTCAAGATACTGAAACTCAGGAACCCATCATTGAGCTCTAGTCTCTACCTCCTTTCTTAAATTCTTTTATTTCTCACAAGTTCGTATATAAAAGTAAGGAGTGAAGAAATCAATCAGATTATGGCACATTAAGATTCAGGTTTAGAGTCACTATGTTTCTACTTCTGCAGTCTCCTGGTGGTGACTGATAATTACACCAATCATTGGCCCTCTTTGAAAGAAGGGGTGTAGTTGACTTACATGATGGTCATCCTTTGCCATTTTTTTATTGGAAACAGTAAACTTTCATTAAAAATAGCAGTTAATCATATACACTGCCAACCACTCAGAGTATGAGTGTTGACCCCAACCATTTTCAAAAGTTACAACACAGCCCAAAAAAGGGGTTTCCCTGAAGGTCCCCTGCTTTGCCAAAGTATCAGCCACAGAATTGGCTGACCTCCTTACACACTTTTTTTGACAAGTGACCTCCTTACACACTTGAAGATTACTCCAGTATTCCCTGCTTTGCCATTGCTTGTAGCTAATGGACAGAAAGGAACCAAAGAACTTCCAAAAATCAAAACAAGGCTTGTGAAGCAGCAATTGCAGCAAGAGAAACATAAACTGAGAATTGCATTTGTAATTGATCTTTTATCCAGAAAAACTCAAGGTGTAAAATAGCCATCTTTTTCACCTGCCCCTACTTTATCTAAAAGCTTGTAGTTGGGGTAATGGAGCAGCACCAGTGATAATCAAAAACAAAAATGAAAATATTACATATTACCACTAATTAGGTAACTTTTCAGATCCATCTCATGGCCAAAAGTTCATAGTTATAAGTTTGTAACCATGTCTATATACAGAGAGAGAGAGAGAGAGAAAGAGAGAGAGGGAGAAAGAGATCCAATTTAGTCTTCTGGTTTCTTCCCAAAGAATAAAGATATATGAAAAAAGATCATTTAGGATAGAAAAGGTAATGAACCTGAGGAATGATTGGCAGTGAATCAGTTAAAGGAATGATTCCTTCTTCTCTCTCTGTTTGTGTTGGATCAGGTGATCGTCGAGGATCTAAATAACGCTTATCAAGTGCCAGCACCTGTACAACACAGACTACCACTTTTTTAGCGCATGAACAGAGGCAAAAATACTGCAGGCAGAGCAAGTTACATTGTTGAATATTTTCAGTGGCACAACAAGAATCACGAATCTATATTTGTAGACTTTAACTGACCTGATCACCAATTGTACCAATAAGAAGTTGCTTAGAAGTTATGCCCTTTGATGTTGAAGTCACTGCCATTGTTTTTACTGAGTGAGTGAAAAAATAAGTCTGAGATTTCACCATCACCTCTGGTCTAGAATATGAGGAAATGGCTGAGGTAAGATTATGTTTTCCAAGGACAAGCTTCCAAACATCTTTGTTACCCTGTGGAAGGCAGTCGTTTTGGAAAAGAAGGGATTAATCTAAACAATACAAAAGCAGTATAAAAGGAACAAAACAACGGAATTGAAGGATACTTACAGCCCGAGACTGATCATAAATTTCAATTACTGACATCTCATATCTGTGTGCTCTGAGATTGAAGTAGTGGTATATGACCCAGTTCTCACTAAAGACCTTTAAACAGAGAAAAGGCAGAAAATCATTCCCATCACTCATTAGAATGCCTAGTGATAAAAATGAAGATAGAATGAAGATACAACCACTTACAGCATGGACAGGACCCTGTGAACCAAAATGTGTCACACGATGAAGGATACGACCAGTAATGGTGTCAATAAGATATACAACCAACCAAGATTCCTCAGGTGTAGCTGATCCAATTTCACCAGCAGCTTTAGGTGCAACAGTAGCTACAAAGAGCAGATTTCTTGATATGTATTTGTACATCACATCTTGATCTGCTATTACCTTAGCTTGAGTATGGACCACCTAGAGAACAGAAGTCATAAATGATTTTACAGCCCATAAAAACATGGATAGTAGCATACAACATACGCATCAAGAAGAGAGGAAGTTGTGTGACAATAACAGAAAAAAGAACTCCAGATGCCTGTGTTTTTTCATTGATCCTCCAGATATCTATGCTACATAATTCAATCTATGTCGCTACTGAGATGTAGTAAATTTATTATTTCATCTGGTTCCTAATAGTATGGAGTTACTACATTACATAACTTTTTATCCATTTACAGTAGTTTCTACATATTTTTCATTTCCGTTAACTAAAATAATTGGAAAAAGTAATTTCTAAATAATACAATATAACTCCGCAAATTCAAGCAACCACATCTGGCACTTCAAAATTCATAAAAATAAACCGGCAAGTAAGGTGCAGGCATAAGGCCTGTGCTATGTTACTGCTCTTGCATGTTCTATACATTTACTAAGGGTGATATGCTCATGTGAAGATCATGGATCACATCAACTGCAATACAAGGCAACATGCTATCAAAATTCAAATTGCTGCACCAATTGAAGAGAATCACATTATTGCACCATGTAAATGAAGTAATAATAGTCATATGACTAGGTCAAAAGACACAACACAAAAGGTGGAATCCCCCCCCCAAAGGATGAGAGCGGGAGAGAGTGCATGGATAAACATTTTCAACTAAAGGTGGTAGGTTGGAGTTAAACAGAAATTGTTCTCAAGAAGAACCACCAGAATCCCTTTCATAGTCCATGACATGATGATCTGACTTGACCAAGTTTTTTTTATCTGCTCTGTCTTCACCAAGCATTGCAAACCAGATTATAAATAGAGAAAATTTATGAACATTTACTATCTTAGCCAAAGCCAAAGTTAAGAAGAAGCCTGAGAACATCTAATTTATATCCTACCTAAAAGAAAAGGTGTTTAGTCATAAACAGGAAGAGGAAGAACAGGCAAGGGTTATGAATAAAGCATGTAGCAGAAAAAGAAAAAAAAAATCAGGATAATATTGAGACCAAAGCAAACCTCATTCAATTTTCTTGTTGCTGTTGCAATAATCTTTTCTGCCTCAGAAGGGAATACAATAGACCACAACTCTCTTGTGTTAAAGCAATACTCATCCTCCACGTCAAGAATGCAATTGCCTTTTAATGCATGCCCTGTAATGATGTCCCGCTGATATTCAACAGAATACCAGTATATGTTAGGGAGTTCACGTTCAAGAATATTGACAGCCTCAAGATTTCTTGGGTATACATGTGCATGGTTGGAAGCATCTATAAGTAAATGGAGCCGCTGTTCTGTTGAATCTGTAAATGGCAATGTAATAACTTGGGCCACTGAATGAGCAAGGCTCAAAGAGTCGAGCTCCTTCCCAGTGTATGAATCAACAAAAGAAAAAACACCCGGTGCATCAAAACCAAGTCCACATTTACCAACAACAAGGACAGATGGATTCTCATCCATTGCATGATGATGAGGAACCTGCCATTGATATATATTCAGCCCAGTGGGATGTTCACAGACTTCTGATCTACGAAGGGAGGAAAGTAGAAGAGACCAAATGACACGTCCATCTCCTGTATGCAGAGCATAAAGCTTGCCTGCTTTGGTTAGTACTATCAGCAGCTTTCGAAAACCATTGTGGTCTCGCGTCATTTTGTTCTTCTCAGAGCTTTTCAACCTCATTTCTTGTATAGATGTTATATCATCAGGACTTGCAAGCATCAGAGTTCCCTTGAGTTTCAGAAAATGTCCCTTTCCAATAACACAATAGTGGCAACAGTGTCAGACAGGAAATAACAAAGGAAGCAACTGTTTCCCTTCAAGTATAAAAACATTAAAGATGCAAAATCTTCAATTTCAAGTACAAAGAAATCAAAATTGTGGAAAAGGCATTCTCAAGCAAATAACAGAAAAGCAAGTTCAGTTAAGTATACTGCTTCAAATATCAAAGGAGCATTAAACCTGTGGTAGGTTTAACTTATAGAAACCGTTTCCTTCCTCTGTAATTTAAAATAATTTCCATCTATAGCTTGAATTAGACTTCATGAGTCTAATTGTATCTTTTTTTTATCAATTAGTCTAATTGTATCTCCATTTATACATCCTTCTCAAAACCCATCATTCTCCCATCAAACACCCCAGTTACTTTCTGTTCAAGAAGATCTGGGTACCTTTCTTCCTCAAGATCAACTATTATCCCTCCCCCTATTTTTTCCATTTTTTATTATTATTATTACTTTTTCTGTGTGGGTGGGGACAATTGTTCTCTGATAAATTCCCTGCATATGTGATATTGTGATGTTCTTCAGAGAAATCAGTTCAACTTAATTTCCTTCACATGTTTGACACATGGTAATTGGTAAAAAATATTTATCATCACACAATTGCTAAGAGACTACTAGAGCCACTTACTTAAGCACATGGATTTTGATTGGGCATTTCTTTGAGATATTGTGGGCAGTGTTTCAGGACTATTTGATTGTGTTTGCTGACCTGCAAAGATATTAGAGCAAGAAGACGAAGAGAAAACAGAAGAGAAGAGTGAATGGGTGTCTAGTGTGTTCTCAGATGGCCCTAAAAGCTGCTTTTATACTGTAGTGTCTATCAACCTAAATATGCTTGGTTCTGTGATTCTGCCTTGCTCTACTGGATTGTTTGCAATATTAATTGCACCCTTGTTGTCACAATACAGCTTGAGGGGACAAGCAACCTTCATTCCTAAAACCTAACTCACCAAGAATGGTTCCAAGCCACAACAGTTCAGCAACACCATGTGCCATAACTCTATATTCAGCCTCTACATTTGATCTAGCAACTACATTCTACTTCTTACTTCTTTAGGTGACTAAGATCCCCCAACAAATGTACAATAACTCAATCTAGACTTTGTCTCCAATTGAACCTGCCCAATCTGCATTAGTATAGGCCTCTATCTCAAGTTTGTTGTGTTTCTTGAATAAGATTCCTTTTCTTCAACAACTCTTCAGAAATCTGAGGATTCTTTCAACTGCTCTCATGTAGGGAGTCTTGGGAGCATGCATAAACTAACTCACCACATGAACTGCATAAGCTATATCTGGTCGGGTAAGAGACAAGTAAATCAATTTTCCCACCAACCTCTGATATATTTCCTTGTCTGTATAATCCTCACCAACAAATTCCTGTAGCCCATGATTCTGTTTGGTCTACTCCCCAACATTCCCATCTCTTCAAGTAGATCCATCCAGTATATACTTCCTTTGCCATATATATATATATATATAGACACACACACACACACACCCCTTCCCTTGGCCTTGCAACTTCAATACCAAGGAAGTATCTTAGACTAATTAGATCTTTGATCTCAAATTCAAAAGCCAGGAACTTCACCAATCTTCTTATCTCATATATATATATATATAGACACACACGCACACACACCTTCCCTTGGCCTTGCAACTTCAATACCAAGGAAGTATCTTAGACTAATTAGATCTTTGATCTCAAATTCAAAAACCAGGAACTTCATCAATCTTCTTATCTCCTCCGGGTCATTCCTTGTGATGAATCATCCACATAGACTATAAGAGTTGTGAGCATATCCCCTTGCCTCCTTATGAACAATGTATGGTCAGCCCCACTCTGAGTATATCCCACGCTCTTCATAGCCCCACATAGCCTTCCAAATCAGGCATGAGGTGATTGTTTCATCCCATACAAGGCTTTTTTATTGGAAATGGTAACTTCATTAAATAAGAGATTTCGAAGTGCAACTGTCAACCCCTAGTGAAGGGTGTTGACCCAAAAAACATTCTTAAGACTATAGCACTACCCAAAACAAATTATCCTTGACAGTCCCTTGCTTTGCCAAGGTATCAGCTAGCCCATTAATTGACCTTGTTGTCCACTTGAAGCATACCCTGTTCTCCCTTGTTATACAAAGGATTTCCCTCACCATCTATTTGTGTCCACATTACCCCAATTCCTGAGGAAATGGGGAACGAGTGAAAAAACCAGAAGAGGAAGGTTTCAAGATTCTACTATCCATGCAAGATTGGTCCAAGTAAACCAACCCTAGAAGAGCAATAAGTTCATCAACCAAACCTATTTCCAATTCCCTTAACCCTCTCCTCAAGCCCAGATCCCATGAGTTATCATTATAAACCAAATAAACCACTTTTCTTTTGCTTTTAGAAAGGGAATAAATAGATGGGAACCTATCTTTAAAGGAAGACTCCCCAAACCAAACATCTTCTCAAAACAGCACTTTGTTCCTTTCTTTTTTTATCAATAACCACAGAGTTCATTAATTAATGGAGAAAAGTTACAGGGAAGAGGAGCTAAAAATTCTTAACTCCCCAGAATAGAGATACACCTGATTTAAACACTTAGAACCCTACAATTGAGCCCAAAACTCAGAATTTCTAAAAACTCCTTGCCTAGCCAATCCATCAGCAAAGGAATTAGCACTTCTTTTAACCCAAGTACATAGGACTTCCATATCCTTAATCAACCACTTGAATTTTCTTTTCTCATTGCTGTAGCTCCACATCTTGGAAGTGTCTTCTTTCAGTCAATCCACAACAACCACAGAATCTCCTTCTATAATCAGTTTCTTAACTTTAACTTCTTTGGCCCTTTGCACCCCTTCCAACACTGCTAACACCTCAGCCCTCAAGAAGTCTCCCACTCCAATTGGACTAGAGAACAAAGCTATTACATTACCTCTCTCATCCCTTAGGACTCCCCCAATACCTAAAGGCCCTGGATTCCCCATGCTACTGCCATCAAAATTTAGTTTGATAAACCAGGAGGTGGAGGGTTCCACGTGAGAATCAAAGTCTTCTTCCTTATAACTGACCTAGCAACTTCTTTCCACTTTCTTAGCAAATCATTTGTTGAAAAACCTGTAAACTCCTTCATAGTCTTCAGCCAGTGTATTACTCTTATATGAATCAACTCTATCATATTTTCCAAGCCTCTCTCCTTTTCCGAGAAGATCCTTGCATTTCTTTCCTCCCATAATGTCCAACAAACAGCAGCTCTCACGCATCTCCACATAATTCTTGATCTTTTCGTTGAGCATCACTTTGTTCCTTATACAGGCATCAAATTTGAAATATGGAAAGAGAAAAGGCAAGATAGCATGAATAGCTTTCTAGGGAGAACATCAAAAAGCTCTAGGGTTGAGGCCTGCATCCCAACCAATGTATGCCATTCCATGAATGCTTACAATCAGTGCTTTAAACACCGACTCGGAGGCCGAACCGTTTTTGCCTCTAGGTCGTGGGTCATGTTTTTTAATTCAGTTTTAAATCTTTTATTTGTAAAAAATATTAAAAATTGCAATTTGAGGCCAAAAAGGGATTTTTTGGAATAAATAACAGGGCAAGGCGCCTATGGAGCCTTGGGGCGCATAGATCTCAAACAGTTACCAAAAATTTAAAAAAGAAAAAAGAAAAAGAAAACACCTCAATCAAACATTGGAGTGCAAAGTTATGGCCTCCTGAAGTTTGCATACACAGTTGTATGCAACCCACGACTTGGTTACCGGGTCGAACAAGTCAACGATCCAATCATCTGGGTCAAACGATTTTTTACCAAGTCAACAATTTTTTACCTTCTTTGGGTTTTACTCAAACCGGACCCATACTCTTGACTGGGTGACAGTTTGAGCAATTCAACCGGTCGGGTCAACTGTGGGTTGAAAACACTGCTTACAATCACTTTGTACCATAGCCCACCTGTTCCTGCAACAACCTCCATAACTACTTCCCCAACAAGGTTCTATTCCTTAACCTAATATTCCCTATTCCTAGACTTCCATCATCCCTACTTCTAGATACCACCTTCCACTTCACCAAATGATTCTTTTTGGTGTCTCCCAATTCCCACAGGAAATCACTCATAACCTTTCTAATTGATTTGTCACTTTCAAGGTACCTTGAAGGCAGATAAGAAATAAACTAGCAAATTAGCCAAAGTTGATATAATTAGAGTTATTCTAACCCCCAAAGAAATGTAATTTCTCTTCCAATTAGCAAACCTCTTAGTAAGTCTTTCAATCACTAGATACTAGAAGCTATCTATTTGGATTTCCTCTTAATGATAGTCCCAAATATTGTAACAACTAATCCCCTACTTCACACCCCATTAGACTAGCAACATTTTCAACCTCTTCTCTCCCTATATTTACTCTTGCCACACAGCTCTTGCCCCAGTTCACTTTAAGATTGGAAACCCTTTCAAAATGGTTCACTAGCCTCTTTAAATTCAAAAGTTCTTTTGCTTCCCATTCACAAAACAGTATAATATCATATGCAAACTACAAATGTGTGACCACCACTCCCTCTCAATTCTCCAACCTCTAAACAAATTATTAACATTTGCCCTTAATAAGTTATATTGTTACACTCAACATATCAGCTTCTAAGATAAAAAGGAAGGAGGAAAGAGGAAAGAGGATCTCCTTGTCTAAGTCCCCTATTAACAAGAAAGATATCTGGTATCCCTAGCTACTCCATTTACCAATATGGAAAAATGACACAAGGAAATGCATTAGTGGCTCTATAATCAGGGACATACTTGTCCTATATTTTAGGGCCATAAAGTTGTTTTTATATTATAGAGCCAATAATACAATGAGATCTGTTTATGCAGATTGCAGATCAATAGGAAAGATATCCCTATATTATAGGGTCATAAAGTAGTTTTTATATCATAGAGCCAATAATACAGGGAGATCTGTATTATTGGCTCTATAATCAAGA